ATAGAAGGATGAATAAAAAGATTTAAGGGTTGGGAATCCTGTTTATAACTGTATGTAATTTCACTGGTTCATAGGGCTTTACAAAATAATGAATTTAACAATCAAAGTTTATCTGTTTAAAATTATGACTTGAGACGACGTTGAGGACTAATAATGAAGATGAAGAGAAATCATCACAAAGCATTGTGGTAATCCCTCCATACTTCAAAACGAGAGATAGGTAATGTTAACATTTTCCATGAATATTGTGTCTAGAAGACCCAAGGCTTTACTGAGCTAAGATCACTCTTGGAGAGGGATCAAGACAAAACACCAGGAAAGAAGAAATGTCTTCCCCTCCATGCTTTTAAAGAAATTGTAGTATTCTTCTGAAGGAGAAAGATGTAACAGAATAAGTAAATTAAAAATTTTAAACATTCAATGCCAAGCTCCTAAAAGCCCTAAAAAGAATTTCTTTTCATACTAGTAAAGTATGAAATTATTTCTATGTCACGTGGGTTGAAGGGTCAAAAGCTCTGATGCAATTTAATGCAAGGTCCCACCTAACATAATTAAGTACTTATTAGTCATCATTGGCTCTAGAATACTTAAAATTTAAAACTTAAAACTTTCTTGTTATGTCTAAGAACATAAAAGTGAAAATACTTTTCAAAAGATTTGAAGTTTCATTGAGACCTGCTTGATTGAAGTGCAAAATCACTTGATAATTGTTAACATTTATTATTAGGTAATCAAAAGTTAATCTGGATATGTGTATACACAGCTTGTATTTTTAAATCAGAGAACATTTTATAAAAGTTTTGCAAAACTAAATAGCACTGGCTGCTCTTGCCATTTTAAAAACTATCAGTGCTTATTAGTGATTTTTCTTACATAAAACTTTAAAAACCAATTTTCTCATGTTAAGAATGAAGAAGGAAGTAAGAATATGGTTTTATAACTTTAAAAAGTCATAATAAAACACTCAAATAATCCTCTGATGGTCATGGAAATCCCAAATAAGTCTCAAGAAGACACAAGAAAAGGCTTGGAGTAGTAACCCAAGATTTGTGAAATGAAATTGATTTCCATTCAAATCAGGTCTTTTACTCTTCTTGAAAATGTCAAGGTGTCAGCCTTGGCCATTACGAGACTGTGATTTATAGTTGAGACAAAGCGATAGTACCAGCTGACTGTCTGGAGCCATGGTACAGTGTCTGGCAAGGCTGCCGATGACAGCCACCTCTTTTCTTAACCAATCAGCAAGGCTTAAGTAAGACCCGAGTCTTTCTTCCTCTGTCTTGATAAGGGAATGATAAAATACAATCTGGAAGATTTACTTCGTGGGAAATAAACAAGCATTGTGAAGGGAAATAGGTATCATTTTTCCACAGACTAAATTGCAAACATTATTTATGGCAATCTATATTTCAGCCCTTTAGAAATACATATTCATAACAGGACCATAAACAGATGTTCCAAATATGACAACTTATTTTAATATACTGGAAGCCACAGCATAATTTTGTAATTTGATTAATTAGTAAGAAGAATTGTGAATGTTAAAATACATTTTCAAACTCTCTAAATTATATTTATGGCTTTGCTCATCTGCATCACAACAAAAGCCCAAAATGTTTTGCATTGGAACCATCATTCATAGTAATTTAATCTCTTTCTCATTGAGAAAGATTCCTAAATAGTAGTTCTTGATAGTAAAATGTTAAAAACCACCCAGGTCATACTATGATAAACAAAAGAGCAAAAAGGTAAAGGATAAGTAATAAGAATCTAACATCCTTATTTTATAATTGTAGCCATCATATATACATCATACACACAAACAAATTAATTCATAAACAAAAATAAAAATTTCCAAGAATCAGCACATAATTATCTCTAACTTTGGAGGTAAAAGTGGGGAGGATATAAAATTTGTTGTAAGGAAATGGCCTGATTATATGGTGATTAAGTATAGACACAATAGGCTACAGAAAAAATAATCATCTCTTCTTTACTGAACGATTTCTAGTAATCCTAAATAATTTTTAAAATTTCAAATTTCTAAATGAAACCAAATGCTGACTTTCCTGGTATATGTCGTATATTAAATGCTTATGGAAAGTTTAATAAAGGTAATTAATCTCATGACGCTCAAGGTTGAGATTTGCTGCAGCAGTTGTTTTATAGTTTCCATGCTGTAAGAGGACATTTGGCAAAATAAACTAATGTTGCCTGCACATTGATAGGTACCAGTAAGTTTACCAAGACAAACATTTCAAAAGCCTATCAATCATCATTATATTCAGTAATTAAAAAATGTGCAGTGGTGGTTGTGTGTTCCTTTACATTCCCACCTGCTTTAAAATCCTTTCACTTTCTACCATTGACAGACCCTCACTCATTCCTCATGACCTTGATAGGCTAGTCTTCTTTTGCCTCCCTACATTGGCCATCCAATCAGAGTAGTCCTTGTTCATCAAATAAGTGGATCCACATATGGGCATGTCACCAAAACAGAGCCAATCCAAGATTTTCTGACAACTGACACTGATGTTGGCATAAAGAGAATCTTTTTGTTTGTTTATTTTTTCTGGATTCACAGGCTGTAGGATGATGACGCATGATGCAAGTCTAAAGTTGTATATGGCCATCTTTGCCACCACATTCAGAAAGCTTACCTGAGAATGAAGTCAGCATTGGAGAGAAATAGAAAGAAAGAGGGAGAAATATCAGGTGAGAGGGGAGGCAGAAGCAGTAGAGAGAACTTGGGGGAGGGTGGGAAGAATAGATGCATTGATCAATAAATATCTTATTTTAAACTGCCAAATTATACTGAGGAACTGACGAATTCCATGTGGGTTTCAATCTCAGGTAGAATCTCTCCACAAGGGCAACAAAGATGGTCACTAGCTAGTCCAAGCCTCCATTCTCTTTCAAACTTGCAATCCTTGAGGACAAATAAAAACGATATTTTTCTTTTTTTTCCAATATTTATGTTACTTCTAAAAGAAGATATTTAGGAAAGCCTGCATGAAATTTCATTCATCCGTCAAGACCATACTGGCCTTGAATAAGCTTTATAAGCAGTTTTCATAAAGAAAGTCAACATTATGATTAATAAAATATGCATTCTTATAGATGTGGGTATTCCATATAGAAGCACATCTTATAAATAGGTAAATAATGGGCAGAGATAATTTCTTGACTCAATCACTAAGAGACAAGGTAGGGATCACTTTTTCATCTCTTAAATTTAGAAACACATAGTCCTATTATTTATCAGCAAATTGCTCTTTCAGAGTTACAATTAAAATATTTTAAATCGTAGAGCTGAATGCGAGAAAATGACCTAGAAAGAATATAGAAGCTGAATATTTTTCTTTCAAAGTAAGATGAGCACTTGTTATATGTCTAATTGTGAACAAAAATACATTATCTCTTTGTCCCATAAATATATTTGGTTGTTTTTAGTCAGTGCACTAGGTGGCCCTCACTAGAGAACATCCTATGGAAAGAAAACACGTTTTCTTTAAACGTAAGATACAATTCCTTTGAGATTCTGTTAACCACTTTTCCTCTCTAATTGAGAAAGTCACCACACAAATTAGAGTACAAATTTCATTCTTCTAGAAAGAACCTTAAAAGTTGACATTTCTTTGAACAATTGTTTCAGAAATCCTTTTTTAAGTACATTTTCATTTTCTGGCATGGCTTGAATTGAATTCTAAACTTTCTGCTGCCTGTCCTCTGAGCCCCTCTGGTGAATTTAAATAGGCTTCCCTATATATTTAGTACATTCAAGAATTCTTTGTTGCCGTGCCTTCTCTGCTTTATTATTAGAGAGCTGCCTCGGAAGTACAGCAGCCAGTTTGTTTTCTGCCATTAATAAAGAGTCTACTTTTTTTTCCCACTTCTTTGAAGAAGTTGAAAAGGCTCCATGTTGGGTGGGAGGGAGGCCAGGAAGAGAGGGAGAAATGGAGGGAACTGCTGTGGTGTAATCCCTCAACAAAAAATGTTGTCTAAAGTAGAAACCTCCCCGAGGTTTACAAACGCCCAGGCTGGGCTTTAGTGTAATGTATAAGACAGTAGTAAGTTACCTACACACTGGTCCTCCCACGCCCAAGACTAGGAAGTGTACTACACGTAAGGCACTGCGTTTCAAAATTCTACAAAATCAAATGCTTCCATTGGCTGGTGTTTCATTGCCACCCAAGGATTTTCCTAGAGATGTCCAGAAGCTGTAAAAACAACCACAATGTAAATCTATAATTTCTGATACGTCACTTATATGTCTGGAACAAATACATAGAAGGATTTCATAAAGACCTACCAATTTGGATGTATAAACTACCAATGTTGACTCAAGGCCTAGGGAAAGCTAATTCAAAGGCAAGGACAGATGATTCCACAGAGTAGTCACTTGAGGCTCACAAATCATCAGACACCTATTGACAAAGAGGGAGAAACTTCTCAGAAAAGAGGCAAAGTTAAATCTGCCAACACAAAAGAACCCAAAACACCTCCAAAACCTTATATGGCCAAGACAAAACCTAGGAAGTTTTTATTCTTATTTACTTGACCTAACGGATATAGCCCATGATTATTTTTACACCTGTATTGTTCCTTTAGAAATTAATTATTAAGGTAACAGACTTAAAGCACATTACATAAATCAATAATGAAAAATTTAGTTCACCTTTTCAGAATTTTTCACTTTTAAGTTGTCCATAAAATATGCATGAAATTAACTGCTTATATAAAATGAAGCTATTTAATCTTAAATTCACTTAATCTCAATTACCTTCAAGTTCCACCTGCTTTCAAATTCCTACAAGTAAACTATTACATACAAGTTAATATTATTGGCTGATAACGTACTTCATAAAGTTACATTTAACATGTAGAGATGTGGAGAAAAGCAACATTTAATGAAAATTGAAGCTAGCTCATTGAAAAAATGGTGTGAATCATTTTATGAAGATATCTCAATTTTTACACTATTTTTACTAAACCTTTTCAAGAAATAAAGACATATAGGAAATATATATGCGACTCACTGTATAGTTGGTCACTGAAAGATATGAAAACTAAATAGGATGATGATATATAATGACGGTACCTAAGTTTCTGCATACTAAATATGTATTTTCAGAGCTACACTAAACGTCTATTTCTCAAATGTTTACAATGGCCCAGGATTTTTTTTTTAAACTTCTCTATATTAGGAACTTTGTTTTCCTTATCCAAATGCAGTCTCTAAGGGATCAGTGGGATTTGAGTGCTAAGTTAAATGTCTAGTAAAAAATTAAACAAAAGAATCCAGGCAATCAAAATGATGCCTGCATTTGCTGCCTACAGAAATGTAGGCTGCATTGCATGTGTAAATGGCAAGAAAATTTGAGCATTAGCTAACCCTTTATATACTGCTTTTCTCAAACTCATCCAAACATGACAGCTTGTAAAACCGTTTACATATTTAAGGTGTATTAGACCAAGCCTAGGCACATGTACCAGCATGTCCATTTGAAGAGGAGTTTAAGGCAGAACATCCCTTTCTAATTTCATTAGTAATTAACTGGTACTGTAATTCTCCTGAGATACTTATTTCTCTTCAAGACATTATTAATGTAGCCTAATGCTTAAATGATTTCAGAATATCTCTACACCTCTTCTGTAGTTCCACTGGAATACTAAAGTGTTTGGGACTTTTATACTGAAAAAGATATTGATCTCATGAACCCTGAAATGAAATATAATCATATTTAGATTTGGCAAAATTCCAGAGTGGCTTCCTTGATGGATCCTAAAAGCCTTTAAAAAATGCTATTTTTGAAAATTGATGTTTTCCTTACAGAGATTAAAAGTTCAAAGCATGAGTATCACAATATGAGCAGAGCAATACAGAAGAGACAAAAGAAAAACTAATACTTCATTGGTCTTTGGTAGATGTTGAAGTTGATTTTTTTTTGCTAAAAAAAGGAACTTGAAGTTCACAGTAAATTAACAAACAACATGGGAAAGAAAATGAATCAGGCAGGGGTTAGTATATTTATGTAAAACAGTGATTGGCTATTTCGAAATTAAAATGTACAAATAAGCTGGTGTCAGAAAGGAGATGATTCCTCATTTCCACCGCATTGAGCAAGCTCACATCGGCAGCAGACAGCCCTTAATATATGCGTCTGGCTCAGGCTGGTCTCCCAACCAGGAAGCCATCGAATTGTTAATATCACTGCTTTTTTTGAATGCAACACACATCATTTTCTCGCTCTTTGTTGTAGATCTCTCCTTTTTATTTTAAGCTTAGTATGATCTGATTTTCCAAATCATATCATAAAGCCCTAAAACAATATTGTCCTGTGACAGCTGAGACAGAAATGCAGAAAAAGTGGCATCTGTCTATGCACATACCGCATAAAGTGGCTTATAGAAACAAAGTCACCCACTTAAATCTACACACACCTTTATGAAGTAAGAGAAAAGCTTTATCATGAGGCTCTCAAAAGACAGTTCACATAGGAGGGTTACATAGAGAAGTTCCATTTGTGCAGGATGATCAGTAAAAAAAATTTTATATGTTTATGGTGAAAATGAACAAACATCACTGCATTCTCAATTCAGCTTTGGTATATTTCTTTTATGAGACAGAAGTTAATATATAGTGTGGTTCATGAATATGATAACATTGAAAAATTTTCACATTTGAATAACCTATATCTGATATCACTATAGCCAATAAACATCTACCCCTTACACTGTTTTGGAACTTGATGGAACCTCTTATAGATGTTATTTATGATCATGTTAAAACAGGTGTCAGTAAACACATACTTGTATGTGATATTCTTTTATATAAGAAGTACTTTCAGATCCATTGTGTGAACATTGCTATTAAATGTAATCAAGCTTCTGTGTACATGTAGACACACATACATAGATTTCTTTGTATTAGCAAACTTATGGTTTTAAAAAGTACTCAATTCCAATGAGAATCAGGTCAAAAGAAATAAGAGATAAATACTACCAAAACTCTTTACTGTTTATATTACCTCCTTTCATTTGTAGCTTTAAACCTTATATTTATACATACACATACACACACCTAAAATTTCAGAACTTCTAGATAAATGAACTAGATGATATAAATAAAGGATCTGAATAGGTATAGTGTACATACATGCTTAAACATAATCTGCATGCTTTGCACAGATGCATGTTTATGATATTGTTATATTAATTTTTAATAACTATGACTACTAGATGATTTGTATTCTATAATATTTCAAGTAGGTATTATGAGAAATTTTTAAAAAGATGAACAAAGACTCCATACAGTATTCTAAAATACATTCATAAATTTATTTTAGCAATGCAGAAGACACATAACTTATGGCACCCATCTAAGGCAATAGTTGAAAGAATGAAGCCACTTTGTTGCTTCTATTATGGAAAGTCTGTCATCTCCATTTTGAATCTTGATATTCGTAACGTTATTGTAAAATTTTAAAATATATTTAGTATACTGATTCTATCTCCAATAAAGACATATCTGATGTGGCAATGGCTATTAAACTTTCAAATATGACATATTACGTATGGTTGGAAGAGTTACCTCTGATAAAACTAAAATTCTTATAAAACTAAAACTATGCAGTTCATATGCAGTTGCTAGTGAAAGCAGTTTGACTTCATAGGTGGCATTTACTGTTTTATCTCACATAGGCCCATGATATGTACACAGTAAACTGTAGAAATTTTTTAAAGAGACATATTTTCCCAATTTATTAATGAAACTTTCACTCTTGGACTCTCGTAACAAAAGAATTGTTAGAGTTGTTAAGACATATAAAGTATGTTGTTTGGATAGAAGACTCAGAAAGCACTGGCAATAAATACAAAGTATAAAACAGCATTCTTCTTAAATCGGTAGTAAAATCTAATAGGGTCAATAAAGAAGATTGTAAATCATGTTATTTCTAGGCCTCAAGCATGATTATAGCTGTGTATGACATAGTCTAAGCCATAGTTATATGGAGACATACAGGATTTATTTAAGTAGCTAATGTATATATTTCAATGCATATGAAAGAAGTTATAAATATAATTCCCTCTCTTCATTAACTGAAGAGATATCCTCTTGTACTAGCCACCTTAAAATGCACGAAAAGAAGCATTTTAAAACACTTATATTTTAATTTTGCTTCTTACATAGGTTTCTTATATTGCCTTTGTATGATCGTTATAATACAAATGCTATTTCAGTGCAACTGTGTAATCACTTTAGAGTACAGTTTCTGACAATAGTATTTTTGGGGTTGGGTCATGGTGAAAACATTACTGATGATAAGGAAAAGCATTGTTCTTTTCTCCTAGGCAGAATCTATGTATGTTCTTTTGTTCTGGTGGTAACTGCAGACAATCAATAAGGTCCAAAGCTGCTGGTTCCCCTCCGCCTAGGTCCCAAGAGCCTGACTTGTGATGTTACTAAAATACCTCACAAGTTAGGGTCTCAGGGACTAGGAAAAGTCTGGTTTGATGCAGTAGAATTCTTCTTCCAGAAATAAGGATAGCTTAGAAATTACAGTTGGGTTCACTTAGGCTTTTACCTCTAAATACTATTTAAAATACATAAGTAGAAATATATATGATATATAAAAGTTAGGATGAGCTGAGTAATCACGACGACCATTTATAGACTAATTCCAGACCTTAAAATAATGAAGAATATGAGAAACAATGCAGACAATGAACACGTAAGAGTCATTCCATTAGATCCATAGAAAGAGACTAAACATGGGTTAAAATCTGCTTCTAGCAGATTTGTACAGCAACACCATAGCCTCTATTACATTAAAGAAGGATTATATGCCAGTTAATGGGACCCTAATTGAAATTTTGCTTCTCATTACACTGCTATACAGCACAACTGGTAAGGTGGGCCCAGGACATATAACACTTTACATCGGATTCAAATATATACCGTTGCAGTTAAGAACAAAACAAAAACTTTTCTGCATGTCATAATTTAATACCTCTGAAGCTTGATTTTTCTCTTTGAATCTCCAAACTATTCAGACAGCAAATATTTCCACGCATACTCTGTAGTTATTTGAGCAATGCCACTTGATAAACATGTAATTTAAAATGCTGGCAACATCATAAAAAAAACCATGATTCTATTTCTTGAATAATTACATTATAAAGCTCAATACTTTTAAAAATACACAACCCCAATCCTGTATATTCACTGAATTTCCTCCGATCTTTTAGCCTTGTTTGTGGTTCGAGAACAGAATTTGTACTTTAGGAATGATCCAAGGTTTAGTAGCATAGAACGCAGGGTAAAACAATCGGACCAGCCATAATATAAAAGTCCTGGCCACAGAAGTGGAATCTGGCTCTTCTGAGGTGGTTGATCTTAAAAGGGAAAAGAGGAGGAAAAAAAAAATGGAAAGAATTAGAATGTTTTCCTGTAGAACAGGTGAATCATCCATTTCCAAGTAAGCTGCAAGGAAAGCTATGCTGCACAAAATATTTGCTAACTGGCCCCCCTCCTCCACCCTAGTACCACACCCCTTTCCAACCACCACCCCCCACCCCCTGTCCAGATCTTTACTCTGCCTTGTAAGACTTTAAATATTCTGCTCCATGATGTAATGCATCATTATATAAGATCTCTTTCTGTTTATCCTTTGATTTCCCATACTGAATCACTTATGGCTTAAAATAAATAGTTAAAAAACAAAAACCAAAAAAACAAAAAAGCAGCACTCACAAAAAGCGAAAAAATAAAACAGCCCTTAGATCTAAGTCCATGCTTTTCCCTAAAACTGAATATGGCTTTACAGTTTTTGACCATAGCATTCAACCAATTATCAGAATGAAAAATCTCACCCCTCCATAAATATGACATTAACATAATTATACCACCCCCATCACGGAGACCCATCCTCCTTAGGGAATACATCTGATGCTCCAAAGATGGAAATCAGTCAGATTTTAGTTGCTCTCCAACGTACCTTTGCTTCTCACTGACTGACTGGCTTTTACCCTCCACGCACTCACACGCCACCCCCTCCCCTCGGCTAGACACGGATGCCCGAGCGAGCACGCGCGCGCACACAGGCATACAGACACACAGCGAGAGGCGAGGCAAAGCATCTGATGCTGACTCAGAGCGCTTCTGTGAGCAGGGGGTGGCAGCGGCTGGTATTTTCACTGCGCTCATCATTAACATTAACTCACAGTCTAGCATCCACCCTCTCCCAGACCTGCTGGACTGCAGCATTTGCATGACGCTGTCACTCTAGCCTTTGCAGGTCAGATGATGGAAGAAAAAAACAGAAAGAAAAGGAAAAAGCCTCAAGGCTCTCTCGTAAGAAATGCCTTCATTTCTTCCAGGGTCTCCTCATTTTTTCCGCCTTTCTACTTCCTCCCTGGCTGTTTCTCAGTTGTTTGACATCTTTCCGGAAGAAACTGTCTTGTGCTTCATTGAGCCAGTCGCCAGCTGGTCCTCCCCTCACCTCACACTCCTGATCCCCACCCCTTTCCCCCGCTAATCAATAAGACGGATCTCCAAATGCAGTTGTGGAAACAGGCTCCGGCACAGTCTCATCCTGGATCCCCTACCTCAGGAAGCAGGCAGCCAGGCTCACACGTGATAGAGAGTAGTAATGCCAGCAATTCTTTAACAGCCCTAGACTGTATTCCATGCCTTCATTTTCCCCACCTTGGTCGAAGCAAGAGCAAAGGGGACTTTCCACTTCTATATGAAGCCCCCAGGCAGCCCAAGAGACACATGAGTGAGACCAATCTGTATAGATCAATCATTTCTATGTGATAATGAAAAAAAACCCCTATGATTTTAATAAAAGTAATTGCTTAATATTTTTATTAGCTGTGCTCTCATTTCACAGGAATTATAAGACCTGCCAGGATCTGAGTCATCAATATGATTTAAACTGTGTTGAAATCCTAAGTTGCTTAATAAAATCAACCAACAGAGATATTAGTATATTTTACTTTTTTTTAATTTAAGAACTTTTAAAATAATAACAAATAGCTGTGTGGCAGTGGATATGTAAAAGTCTTTGAGACTGAGACATGTTTGCAGCCTATAAATATGAACCATTGACCATATATGTTTAAATAAAATATGGATTCTTGTACATATGTGGAGACAACCTATTATATGCATTATTACAAAAGGAAGTAAAACATTTGGCTGAACACAAATGTGTTTGTGCTACAGTGTTTCACAACACAAAAGGCAATATATAGGTATTTACTCAGTTCCTTTGTTCTTCAATTGCTCCCTTTAATGACAGAGTGTGGTAAACTGCCTACCTTTCCTTTCTACATGAACAGCATTTCTGAATTACTTGCCAGACAGAGCTAGCCATCAGTGACTCTGCAGCATACAAGAAATACATACAAAGGGAAGCAAAGTACGGCAATTCTCAAGCCAACTCTAATGCTGTCTGGTGCTGTAGAAATTTCAGTTTACTCACACAGACAGATCCCAGCATGCAGTGCGGCACTGCAGGCTCAACTAAGGTAGCAGATTGGCAACAGATCTGTGGCAACAAACAAGAAGGACAACCATTCGCAGAGGTTCCAAAGAAAACATCACACAACCTATAAAGAGATAGAAGCATCAGTAGTAGGGTATGTATCTCTAAGATGAGTTCCTACAGGCTCCTGATTTGAAAGCAGAAGAATAAACCTCTCAAACGCAACAACAAAAATAGAAAAAGAAGTTGGCACCAGAAGGAAACAGAATTAAGAATATACTGTAATAAGAGAGAAAGGCAAGAAGGAAAATAATAACAGAGGGAAAAAGAAAGGGAAACACAGAAATGAGAAGAAGGAAAGGAAGAATGAAAAAGGGAGAGAAAGAAACAGATAGTGAAAAATCCCTAAGCATTGAAGCAACAATGAAATACGAAATTAAGTTTCTGACCTGGAAGAATAGGAATAGTATTCAACAAGGTTAGAATCTAATGAAAAACTAAAACAAAAATTAACGCATGTGCAGCATAGCTTAAAATACTTGTCATTAACATTGAGATTCCTGCTGACTTCTTCCTGTCCTATGTGGATTAAATAAATCGGTCATCTCTTAATCTCCCTTTGCTCAGACCTAACTTTTTTTTTTTTCTTTTTTAGCTCTTGGCATCTGTATCCTTTATGCTATTTATTTTTCTAGACAGTTGTCCACAATACTTTGGATAAATTAATGTCATGACCTTGCTATGGCTATCAGACATAAAATGTCGACTATTTTAATAATTGAACATGTGCTTACAGCAACTGCCTACTGATATCCCAGCTCTGTGGACTCCACACGAGCACTGCACTCCTAGCTCTGTGAATCAGAAACAACAAATGCAAATACAACTTTTTTTTCCCCCTAATCCATGCCATCTCTCTATTACATACAGAGATAGACACACACACAGGCCTTAACTTTACAGAAGGCATAATGATATTAACTGAGGAGTTTAGAAAATCAAGAGGAATAAATATTTGCAAAACAAAAATCATACTTATAACTGAATGGCCACACATTTAAAATATTTATATCCAGATAGAGGTTAGCCAGGTCCGAGTACACAGGCTTCTGGTAGGACTTCCGTTAAGGCCAATGGGAATGCAGACTTGATGAAATCAATATTTATTTGAAAGAAGATGTTGTAATCAATGAGTTCAATTACCACTGTCATATACACAGGTTTAAGGTCTCTTCTAATTCTTAGCATCTTATCATCAACACAAAAGCATCCCTAAATCAGAGTTTATACTTTGACTGTGGCTAAAATATTTACAAAGTAAAATTTTGATGCTCTTTTACATTTAATTTAAGTCGTATAATGCAAGTATTGCCTTGCGAGATCAACTATTTTTATGTTTTTGGAGATTTGTTCTGTTAACTTTCTAAAAAATAAGCAAGACAGATCTGAATTTAACATTAAAAAATATTTTCAGTTAAAGGAAGTAATAACTGACTACTCTGAAATACTTTCATACAACCTGCCTTCTACCTTACTACTAAGGCAGGAATCTTTTATTTCTTACAAATGCCATTTGAAATCAGTGCTAAGAAGGGGATCATATTTAATTTCTTTAGTGAGATTTGGAGTAAGAAGGATAGAAGACAAAAGACAAAAAATCAACTACAGTTCAAATTTTGACTCAAAATTCATGGATGTGCAGAATATATTATTACCTGCATTTTTTCTTTGTTTTACTTAACCTGCATTCTCCAATAAGCTGTGACCAGTCACGTGTAGATATTTAAATTTAAATTTAAGTGAAAATTCATTTTTTTTTTGTTGCCCTAGCCATGTTTCAAATGTATAGAAGGGCACATGGTGGTGGATACCATTTTGAACAGCCTGGATATAAAACATTTCCAACCCTGCAGAAAGTGTCATAGGAGAGTGTTGACTTAAATTTTCCTCGTGAAAAGTTTTATAGCGTAATAGATTATTGGATCTCAATATTTTCTTTCAAGTCTCTTTTAAGAGAATGAAACTATGTTGATTTATCTGAAGGTCTAAAATAGAATTTCTTTTGACTGAAGAGTATCTATTGTTTTTATTTACTAATAGTCTGGAAATATGCATGATTACTTAAGGAAAAAGGGTATATAGATACTAACTTTGAAATAGTTGATAACAATACTATCAGAAGACACAGAAAACTACTCAAGCTAAAGTCTCCAAATAAATATGAGGTGTTTATTTGTCTAACTTTTCCAGAAATGAGAGTCATTCTCTTTTTAGAGCCAAACAACACATATTACATATTTCTGCTTTCAATAAAGAAGTGATGTAATAGTAGTGTGAGTAGCAAAAGTTAAAAAAAAAAATCTTTTCTAAAAATCCTGTTAAGGAGCAATCAGCAGTTAGGAGCAGACCATTTTTTTTTTTTTTTTTGGAGACAAGAAATAGTAATTAAAGGGCAAGGGAGACAAAAATCAGATTCTTGTGGACTAGGATGAACTGGTTGAGAATTTTCTTTTGTTTTTGTTTTTGTTTTTGTTTGAGATGGAATCTCACTCTGTCACCCAGGCTGGAGTGCAATGGCGCGATCTCGGCTCACTGCAACCTCGGCCTCCCGGGTTCAAGTGATTCTCCTGCCTCAGCCTCCTGAGTAGCTGGGATTACAGGAGCGTGCCACCATGCCTGTCTAATTTTTGTATTTTTAGTTGAGACGGGGTTTCACCATGTTGGCCAGGCTGGTCTCGAACTCCTGACCTTGTGATCTGCCCACCTTGGCCTCCCAAAGTGCTGGGATTACAGGCGTGAGCCACTGCACCCGGCCCTGGTTGGGAATTTTCTATGGAATTAACTGAGGAAAAAACCCAGATGATATGAGTGTGTTTGTGAGTATGTGTGTGTGTGCGTGTGTGT